TTGAGGGTTAAGCTAGATCCTTTTTTTGCATGGGTGGACTCTACAGGGCTACCAAACTGATTTCGGACTTTCGAAATGTTGAATATTTTGAAAATTATAAATATAAAAACTCAGAAATTGTATTTTTTATTTTTTTACATATACGTTTCTGAATGAAAAAAAGCAGAATATGACCACGTTTCCATGGGCATCACTGATCCGGATCAGTAAAAATGGATTAGCTAATCCAGTATAGTTAGACAATATATGAAAATGAAAATAAGGGATTAACTGATTATATAAGCCTAATCCACTTGGAATTATATCATGTAACGAAGAGTTCGAGAAATATAATACGATTTAAGTTTGCTGATCCGGATCAGTGATGCCCATGGAAACGGGGTCTATATGTGTTTGAACACATATGCGTTGAATATATGTGAACTTCATCTGACAAACACCTTTTTTGTTGAAAAATGTCAACTTCAAAATTTGACCATTTTTGACCTAAAGTGACCTGACCTGACCTCAGCTATATTCAGCTAAAATGGCCTAAACTGACACATACAACACTGATTTCGATATATATGGCCTACATGAACCATAAAACATGTCTCACGTCACCGATGCACGATATAAAGCTTTCGTGACCTGGGATGAGATGGCCTTGACCTGAAAAATTCGAAGTACAAGTTCGGTACCCTCAGGTTATGTTACGCATATATTCACGAGTGTGCAAACAAAAAATGAGCCTGATCTGATTTGTTGGCCGGCGCCCAGAGTGCCAAGACGCTGATATTTTTACTTTGACCTGACCTGTGACGTCATCGATGACCTCGAGGTCAATGACATTAGGCTTCGCTCAACAATATTTCCAGGGCTACCAGGGGCCGTTTGAATTTTGACAATCGGCCCAGTAGTTTCGGAGTTAGGAGCCCCCCCCCCCCCCCACTGTAACGTGCTGTAACGTGCTGTGGGGCGCGTTAGAGCACATACCCCAGTGAGGCGTGGGTTAACAAATAAAAAAACACGTTGATTTCCGACGCTGGGAAATGCCCGCAATGATACCCACCCCACCACCCTCCCCCTACCCGGTCCAACAGGGTCTCAAGGAAATTCAACAACATGAACCGAAACAAAGGCTGCGATCTTTGCTGGAAATGGCACTCGTGAGATAAGTATTATTATGCTGAAGATACAACGACTTACTTGTTATTTCCGAGTATCCTCCACCGTCAGCTACGCTAACCACCCACACAATCACCGTTCAAATATTTAAAACCACGGAGCACCTTCACAACGCCGGCGCGCGGCCGGAACTGACATGGCGGCGCCGCTGCAGCAGAGTCAGACGCACGTGGATTGTTAGTAAGGGTGTAGTGTTGTCATGGTGTTGCCATGGTATACCTTACCATAGCAGCAGAAGCACACCCAGGGAACTGTTGCAAGAAATTTCTGGCCTTTCGTCCATAAAACTATTAATTGCTCAGGGTCTCAGCTAGTCCTTGGATGACGCTCCTTCCAACATATCAAAAATTGGCAAACACCTCTATGGAAAGGAGGAGACTTGATCGCCGAATTCACCGCTGGATCCGCCCGTGGAAAGGTTGATTTTACTATGGTAGGGAATATTAGCTTACGAGGGTATCTACTAGCCTCAGGTGGTTACCACCTTGTAAACTGGGGTACAAAACCACCCCTGATAAACGTAACCATGGTAATATCAACATGTCAAGGCAGGATAGTATTCAGCACCATAGTAGGCTGGTAGTAATATGATGGTAGGCTGATGGTAAAATTTACCAAAGCTAGTAACTTAGTAAATTGATGGTAAAAACTTTTTTCAGTGTACAAGGGGCCGGGCACCCCCCTTCACTCCCGTTATAAAATATGTACAGTGTATACCCCAGTCATGCGCGGGTGTGAATGTGAAAAAGGGATGACATTCTGTATTTACTTTTGCATGTTTTACCAAAATGTTGTGAACAGGCACCATATAATATAGCATCAACAATTCTAAAGCATGGTCGAAAATTAGGCTTTGGAATTATACGGTTTTTTCTACCAATTATAGCGATTTTGCACGGTGCTATATTTTCTTAATGTACACGGCCCCGCATAAGGCTATGGGTGTTACACCTGTGACCTCAACATAGGTCAGCCGTGATAATGAATATCGAAGGATTGGGTCGGTGAAGCGCAACTCTCCGTTTCTAGGCTGTGGCGACGATAAATTTGGAACTAGCATAGGGATGGTTATAAGCGGCGGCGGTATTGGGTATATACATATGTAATAGTGCGAACACTCCAAATGTGGTGCAGAATGTTTCTAAAGGCGAAAACTTGTCAAACAATAAAGCATTCCGAGCGATCCTCTTACGCCAAAAAAAGGAGATAATCTTGCGCCAGTAGAATCGCATGTCCGGGTGCACCCACGGACTCTTGGGTCCGTGGATGTCGAATTTTGTCCATCCGAGGTATGCAGAGGTTTTTGGTCCATCATTATCTTTTGGAGCCTTGCACGCTGTCAATACTGGTGTCTGCTGGCGGTTAGTCACCGGCCGAGGGAACCCCGTCGGCCGGTCAGTTTGACAGCCGTGACGGCCACGAGCTCGCGGCGGTGCCGCCGATGTGGGCGTCTAACCGCCTCTCCGCCCACGTGAGCCCCCCCCCCCTGCTCGATGGAGCAGCGCTGACATTTGTACCGCCACCTGCGCTGCCTTGTTTGTCACCATGGGGCCACCCATTTTGTCAGAGTTGGATGACAAGATGACCATGTGCGCTTGCATCATGCAACTGGGCTAGCTACCTGAAACCGACTAATCCTTACTTGTTTCGGATGGTGCAATCCCGAAAATGATTTATTTGAAGTTTCTTATATTTAAAAAGCCATGTCACCAGTTTCAATTGAAATATCAATATTTCCGGCTCGAACTTCGAAAGGTTAAATGGCATGAAGACCATAAGGTATGAAAGTAAAAGGTAGCGTCAATTACATAATACGCATTCTGTGCCAGGAAGACACATTTTAGTACGCTTGAGATGTGGAAACGGCCTGGGCGCGTGTGCAAGTGCACACGTATACTGAATCCATAGCTGAGTTGCCGGGCACTCTTCTCATCGGTTCCCAACAGTGAGCCAAATTTGAGCGTATTCAGCCCAGCCGTTTCTTAGCCCAGCGTTTGGGTCGGCCCCTGTACAACGTGTGCACAATCAGTAGTCAGTACACCCCAAGCAGGATGCATGGGAATACATCGCCCGGTCCAATGTCGACCACCTGGTCAAGTTTTAGCGTAATCCACAAGGTCAACGCAGGCTATGGCCTGCGGAATAACGTAACACTTGTGTCGGTCGCAATAAAAATTGTTGAATTAACCCGCGCATCGACAGGGGGTGGGGGGGGGGGGGGCGCCGGGCGGTTAATCGCCCCCCCCCCTGACCCTGAGGTTTTTCGTGAATAGCGGGACGCCGCAAAATTTGGCATGAGTATTCCCTTATCAATTTTACACATGGTGTGCAAGCTTCAACCCCCTACCTTGTCACCAGGTCGCTTCGAATGACCCAACCTCAAACCACTTTTTTGCAACTTTGTCACCGCGTCAGAGCTACGTGATGACTGAGGCTTTTGAAGGTCGCAAGATGTAATGAGATCATTAGTAGCTACAATTTGTTCATCTCGGAATTTTGATATCGATGACTTAAGGTCAGGTAAATTTCTTGACCTCCCCATTAAATGTCAATGGGGGAAAATCAACTCCCTGTTTTTCACTAAAAGGCGTCGGAATGGCCCAATATACCAAAAATGACTTCAGATACGATCAACCTTGACTATATTGAGGCCTATTTTGCTATTGATCAACTGTAAGGTCATGTGACGTCATCAAAGGTCACCATAGTTTTTTTTTTGCTAATAACTCTTTACAGGAATGAGGTACAGCCACGCGGGTGGTCTCATTGTGTTCAGCTCGTCGAGGCACATCGAATGATATGGGTACATGATGACCTTGAGGTCACGTGACCTGAGGTCAACCTTTGACGTGGACCTTTCGAGGTCAACACATATATGTTTCGATACGGATTTACGACAGGATCACGATAGTGCCATTATTTTGTTCCTAGCGCTTCGCTAAGTTTCGAAAGTTATTCGAGAAAAACTCTCTCCATATCTAGCGCCGCCATTTTGACCTTTTTGACCTCTGTGACGTCATCTTTGACCTGACCTGAAAATGACCTTAGTAAATAATGTAGGCCTTGTCCGTGCGTATCCGATGCCGTTTACCGCATGTCGCTATCTTGCTTCGTTCTCGAGATCTCAAGGGGGGGGGGCGGTCAACCGCCCGTCCCCGTCGGTTCTAAGTTGACGCGGACCCCCGTCGGTGCGCGGGTTAAAAATCGAAAGGATGGGACTGTCTGGTACAGAAGATCGCTTGTTGATCGGTAGAGCGGTTGCCAAGACGTTGGGCTGTGAAAAGGATCGCGGGGCCGGGCCGGGTCGACCCAGTTAGGGCCGCTCAAGGCCCTAAAACATAGGGCCGCTCATATGGTCCTAATAAGTCCCTTGAAATAAAAATAAGAACGATATGGGGTTAGGAAATCAAAGCGAGCAAATCTTCAATTAGATTGAAAAACATAAATAGTCGCCTTTCCAGCCGATTCCGACATGACCAACGCCCCTCAACACCAAATTACTTTTCTTACGACGTATATAATGCATTTTTTGCAAAGTTGACTCATGTTTCGGCTGTTAAAATTCAAAGCCGAAAGGATGAGAGCATACCGCAGACAAGACGTTTCCACTGTGCGGCGGGTGAATGAAACAGGAATAAATCTACAAGTCAACCTAAAGGCGTATGAATTAGTGGAGCTCAACACAAAGCAGGCTGCATTCACGTCAAGCCAGCAAAGACTGTCAGCTATGGTGTAGCGGCTGACTGGCGGGGAGCAGGTGACGCTATCGACCGTCTGTCACGGGCGTGACAGCCGAGCTGACAAAGGGACCGACCACCCTGCGCACCAGTCACTCTGAGGCTCGCGGCCGACTGGGTGGCAGAGCTGGCAGCCATGATCGCGGTGGTAGCCTGGCTAGCGTTGCTAGCACTGGCGCCAGCCACGTCAGCAACCTCCTTCGCCGACAGGTAAGCTGGTGTTCATCTGGATGACAAGGCAGACTTCTAACGGGCTTTGCTGTTGTCTATTGTACAGTAGGCAACCATCAACAGTGGCGTAGCCAGAAATCAGCGAAGGGGGGGGGGGCATGGTGCTCGAGGGGCGACTTTTTTCCTTGAGAGGGGCGCCATTGTTAGCTAGTGACAGGGGCATCAGTCTAAAATGTAACGTCATGTTCATGCTTGATTTACTAGGTGTTGCAAAATACGAAGAATATGAACCAGGTTTCGCTGATTTTTCATAAAATCCAGTTAATGTAATTTGCAGCCCGGTGTTTTTTTATATAAAAAACCTTGATCTTGATGAATATTTACCACGACATAGGAAACGATCTCAGGCTACAGATATTTTATTCTCAATTTATTTTATGCAATTTGCAGCCCGATGTTTAAAAAAAAAAATGATCTTGATGAATATTTAGCACGACATAGGAAACGATCCCAGGCTACAGATATTTTATTCTCAAAATACGCATCCATGCGCATTTGAAACGGTAAAATATACGTTGGTCGGTAGGCACAATCTTTATTCTTTGCAAAAAAAAAGATATACAGGTTCACTCACTGATCCAAAGTGACCTGTGGGCTGCAGCCTGTGGTCGACAGCGGTGGCTGTGCTTAGAATCTCAGACCGCACGTACCTATGTAGGATTCACGCTGCGACCAATTGCCGAAATTGGAATCCAGGAAAGACTTGAACATTTCAGACCATAAGATCCACCATGAGATCTTAGCTGATTGTCATACTAGCAGCGACTGCAGTCAGAGGCGACCGAAAACTTACTTACGTTTTGGATTTTTTCCTCCACAAATCACCATAAATTCGATGTCTATAGTGCGCGCAGCCCCTACTTGTGGATATGGGTGACTACATGAGTGCCAGATGGATGAGGCGTGAGGCTGTCCCATATAGTGGCACTAAGGTAAAGGATGTCCTCGGCCGACGTAGCATAGAAGACGACCTTTGATGATGTGAGTGTGCATGATCGACTTTGAATAAGCGCCATAGATACCTGCTGATCTCACCGAACATTCGCCTTGCGTAATCCCCAGACAAAATATCTACATCGAGGGACAGGTCAATTTTGCGACCTCTCCATTACCTATTAGTTAAACCGCGTCGTGCTGGTGGGCTGTGTTTTCCGTGTCGTGCTGGGGGGGGGGGGGGGCGTTTTCACGCGACCCACTTAACTTGGCTCCTGGGCCACGTAGCAACACGCGGTAAGCGGCAATCGAAAGAGCGTCAAAATAATGACGGAAACACTTTGTTTAGTTATCAGGTCAGGTCAAAGGTCAGGTCGCCAGAGGTCATCAAAGGTCAAATTTAGTCCATTTCAACAATTTTGGAAACTGCCAACAACTAACTCTGGAACCAATGGAGCTTGAACGACGCACAAAATCGCATTCGTTAGCCATTTTACAGACCTTTTCGATTATTGCTCTCAGATTTGACCACAAGTCAACGGTTTAGCCTCCAGAGGGCAAAAACTAAAAAATAGCAGTTTTTATAGAAAGCGTTTTTCTGCAATAACGTTTGACTAGAGACAGTGACGACATTTATTTTGCCAGCATCGTGTTCCTCTCGTCGAGACGCGTGGAATGAGCTATACGTTGACCTTGAAGGGTCATGTTGACAATTTGACCCCAGGTCAAGGTCATGACCTGACCGGAAAGGGTCATGCTGCATATCAGTCGATCCGTATTGTCTGACGTATTTTCACCGCTCTAGCACGTCTCTATCCAAAGGTACAGCAAAAAAAAAACTGCTGGTGACCGTTCATGACCTGAGATGACCTCAGGGGCACACAGAAGGGTCACAGGTGCATTTTTACGATTCAGTGTGTTATGTTTACCTATGAACCGATGTTTGAGAGGGTTCTGAACGTTATTCGTCCAAAAGAGGCGCATTTCAATTTTCTCCCATTGACTTATAATGGAGAGGTCGCAAAATTGACCTGACCTTAGCTTACCGATATCAAAAGTCCGAAACATCTTATACATATTGTTAGTCTTATCAATCTCTGAAAGTTTCAAAAGTGATCAATCAGTCGGTGTAACTATCTTTAAACTTTTTATGAGGTAAGGTCACTTGACGTGACCTGGTGACCTGACCTTGAATGACAGACTTTTTTATTAGAAACTTGCCCGCATGTGAATTGATGGCTGCCCCATGCAGTATGGTGGGTAGCAAAGTCACGTGAAAGTTAGGTCAAGGTCATTGACCTAAGATGAATTTGGTTAACCTTTTCGAGTCCTACATGTTTACAGAGCAGATTTTGGAGTTTATTTCGAATTTGGCACTCATTTGAATATTTCGGAGGTAGTTTTGGTGCCTACGTAGCATGCTACGGCATGCTACAAATCCTTCAGTGGTAGCTGATACGTGTGGTTAGCCTACTGGTTGACCTGACCTAGCCAGATCTACTGCAAAGCACGGTTGTTTGATTAAAACGCATATTAAATTCGAAATCAGGATCCCGAAAGTAGTCATAACTCATAACAGCTTCACTTCCAGAAGTTTTGGTAGTCCCGATTTCCCAGCTTGTCGGCCATTGACCTGACCTGGGACCTAGGTGATCTATGATCTAAAATCAATGATCAATGATCTAGGACCTTAAAATTGGATTTCACCCACTTCCCCTTGTCTCGGGCAACACGTTCGTATTTTTATGCGTTTTGTCGACATCAAATATAATTAGGCCTTAGATCGTGCTATATCTTTTGACATTAAGTTGTTTGTCTTAGGTATTTTGACATAAGAAAAAGATTTGTGATCAATCCTCAATCTAATGACCGCCATTGTTGAATGATGTTATAAACGAACACAGTAATGTCTTTTTGATACTGTTGCTTTAACCCGCGCCCCGTTGGGGTCTGCCGATACCCTGGTCTGCCGAGCAACGCGCCCTGCTGGTGGGGGGCAATTTCCCCCCCCCCTAAGATCTCGAGAACCACGCAACATAGCGACAAGCGGCAAACGGTGTTGGATAGCCCCAACAGGGAACTACCTTGTGACCTAATTTCATTGCCCTAGGTCAAACCGATGACGTCACAGGTCAGGTACACGTCAAATGTCGAATTTTCACCGTTTACAGGTATTTCAAGAAATGCGTTGTAAAATCGAGTAAAATGCATTTCATTGAAAATCATCGATGGAGTATTGTTCATCAAACACATATTTTGCTATTTGAGGTCACTGCTGCCAGGTCAGGTCACTGAGGGTCACAATATGAAAATACCATTGATACATGTTTTATGGTTCATTTTATTTGTCAAATGCAACTATGTGGATCAGGCAGCCTTTGGGTTCAGTTTAAATTATGTTCTGGTGAAGGTCAGGTCAAGGTCAGGTCAAGGTCAGGTCAAATTAGGTCAAATTTCAAAGTTGATGTTTTTGCATAAAATGGATATCGATTCGATGCAGCTCGTCACGGGGAGTTCAATGATGGTCTCTGTTTTGCGCTACGTGCTCTGGAATTGCCAAAAATTGAGTTCAAAAATTGATGCCATCAATTTTTAACAGTTTTTCGCTATAACTTGGCCAAAAAAGAGGTATCATCGATATGTAATTACGGAGCGAGTGAAGCGAGCGGAGTCGTAGAATAACGGAAATTTCTGAGTATGAGCGGCCGGCCGGCCGGCCGGCCGGCCGTGGTCACGATTCTGCGACGCTTATATCTCAGCAACCACTTGACCGATTTACACGCGGTAATTTTTGTAGGGTAGCTTCATTCCTTCTACAAAGTATTGGACTATTCCTGATGCATGTGGATGACCCCTTATGCACGTGCCACGTGCAAAACGAAGAGGTGTCACTTTTGTAATTGTTGCAATATCTCGGTAACTACTTGGCCGATTGCGCTAAAAGTTGACATGTAGGTAGGCACCCACTAGGCAATGCATATCCATGTGCCAGAGTTGGGGTGCTGCTGCACGTGCGCACGTGCAGGGGTCGATTCCAGATCTCGAGAACTGCTGGACCGATGGCGCTCAAATTGGGTACATGGTTAGGGACCGGTTAGTAGGGTGCCGTGCAAAAGTCAATTGGGACCCATTTTGCACGTGCGCACGTGCAGGGTGCCACTTCCAGATCTCGATAACGGCTGGGCCAATTGTGCTCAAATTTGGCACATCGCTATAGACCGGTTAGTAGGGTGCCGTGCACAAGTCAGCTGGAGATACCCCCTCGAAATTTCGCACGTGCAAGGCTCACCCTCTCGCTCGCTCCGTTAGTCGCCCCAAGAGGCGTTATACTGGTTGGTATGTGGATAGAAAAGCGCAGGGACTATCACATATATTCCGTTTTTTTTTCGAAATTCCAAAAACTTTTGGGATTTTTTTTCACGTTTTTCTAAAAAAATTGATTGTATGATTGTATGATTGTATGATGTATTGATCACCAACACGTAAAACCCAATGACAGGTGAAGTCAGCGCATGCAGCACAACCTACGACATAAATACGCAGTCATTACAGGATACACATGGATACAGATACTAAGTGACACAAGCTAAAGCTAAGTGCAGACTTCCAAAGTTGACGAAAATTTTGCTGCTTCCCTCTTCAACTTTCCCATTGGGTCTGTAAATATGTCCACTGAGGGATTCCAGGCGATAAGTTCGTTTACGACACGCGGGACACGTACAAAAAGACTAGTCAGTGTAGCATTTACACGACTATGAGGCATGCTAAACAGAGTAAAAGATGCAGCTCTAGTGTGTCTTGGTGGAACATGCACATTAAAACATTCTAATAAGTAAGATGATTAGATGAGTCCTCTAAAAAGTTTCGCTAAAAACAGCACATCACACTGAACTCGTCTAGCACTCAGCGGCCGGACTTCGTAAAAAGTTAGCAACTGATTGTACTCGAGAGACGGACAGCGGGGGTTCGTGTGGTTAGCTAGCCAGATCAGGAACAGGAAATTTGAATTTTTAGTGGTCAAAATCCAAAAAATTTGAAAATCCTGGATAATAGTTTTGTAGCACCGTCTTTTCTCTACATGACCATATAAAGAACTTTGAAATTGGTAAGTAACTGTAGCATTGGTGAGTGTTTCAAGATTTCATGTTTTTTGCTCATTTTTGCACGAACCTGACCTCAGTTTGACCTCAATAACTCCTGAGACTAAGACTTGAAATTTAGTTTGGAGGTGTCAAATTGATGCCCGGTAAGGTACTGAAAATTTGGCGGCGCTGCGTGCCGCCGTTTTCTTGCTATTCAGGAAAAAACACAGGGGGGCCAAATTGCCCCCCCCCCCCCCAGCGGGGCGAGGGTAAATTGATAGACGTTGTGTGATCAGATGATTTGATGTTGTGAATCAAGAATATCATAGGCTAGTTGATATTTGATCTTGCGAAAAGTGGAGTTTTCGTTTCATTCCCACACTCCGTACCGTGCTGATCACTGATCAGTGTGCCCCTGCGATGGCCGAACTTCGACATTTTCCTTTGTTCCTCTCTCTCTCTCTCTCTCTCTCTCTCTCTCTCTCTCTCTCTCTCTCTCTCTCTCTCTCTCTCTCTCTCTCTCTCTCTCTCTCTCTCTCTCTCTCTCTCTCTCTCTCTCTCTCTCTCTCTCTCTCTCTCTCTTTCTTTCTCTCTCTCTCTCTCTCTCTCTCTCTCTCTCTCTCTCTCTATCTATCTTTCTATCTATTTTTTCCCCTATCGTCGAGAATGCCAGAATAGTCTTGAATCTCAGTCCTGAGGCCATTGGCTCTTCTGCGCCTGAAGGGAATTGTATTAGCTACTGATAGGTGTTCCAAAATCTTCCGCAATGCATAAACATAACATTCAACGGTCATCGCACACCTATATGGAACGTGAACTGCATGGGTGGCTGATGTTGCTGCTGTTACCCAGCAGAGGGCAGTTCGCCTACGTCTTTCCCGCGTGGTTTGTGTTGGGAGGGTTTCTTGAGAAGGTTTTCACAGAGAACATTTTAAGTGGAAATAAAAAAGGCAAAACTTGTTGAAAAGGCTTGCCATTTGGACACTTGTAGGGTAGGTAATAAACGGCCTTATGATTTTTTGTCATTCCTCTAATAATGTTTATTCAGTATCAGGGTCTTTGAGCTGCGCTGCTCCGCCTGTCTGCAGGGGTTTTCTTCTCACGTGTCCCAAGTCGCTAATCGCCGGGACGAAGGAGCAATGCTGCGTATCGTTTTACAAGCTCGCAGGCCAAACAGTGCGGCTAAATGTGCACCTACTGCCCAAGAAAAATAGTACAACGGCTGACAGCGTAGCAAAATACTACAAAGCAACATATATCAGAGGTAAGTTCCTTGCGCGGCTTATTTGCATACCTGACTGGATGTAAGGTACGAAATCCTGTTTCGTTGTGTTGTGCGATACTTTGTCCTTAGGTTTAAGCCTAATAGTTATAAAGCTCTGAGGACGTAAGTGTGTTATAATGTAATCTAAAATAGGTAAGAATAATCTTCTAATTATTTTTTTTTTAAGCAAATGCTACTTTCCAGGGTGTCGAAAATAACCCCTACCTATTACTGAGTCTTCCACTTCAGTTCTCGCCAAACAACATGCTTACCTATATTGCAAGGAAATGAAAGAAGAGTGAGAGACTTTGCATATATTACTGCAAGCGTGTTGCAAGCATGATGAAGGCAGCGGTAAGCTATATTTGGTGCCACTAATGAGCGCTGTGCTTTCAGGTGCCTCGGACTTTCGCTGTTTCTCCCTTTCCATTCCGAAGAAATCACGTTCCGGCACGCTCTACCTGAAGGTATCCGTTCAGGGATACTACTTCCAATCGACGAAAACATCTCCGGTAAGCATAAGCTAAGTGGCTTGAACAACACAGGAAATAGGCATGATGTTCGTTTTTTTTACTAAACAAAAAATAACGAATTGTTCTTTTGAGTAATGCGTAAACTACTGTATGTTAGTGCTTCGTTAGGCATTCGCTTGAATAATATGTGATGGAGAGAAGGCGTTCAGTCGGTGCAACGCTTAGATTTGGCTTAATATATCATTCATATATTATTTCAAAACAGCCTCTCCCGTAGCTCAATTGGTAAAGCATGACTCCCAGTAGTGAGAGCCCGGGTTCGAGTCGCTCCGGCGCTCTATATTTGAGACTCCTGATCGGGGATTGTTAGCGGTTTATGGCAGCAGCCGCAACCACCTGAAGTCCGTTGAGTGGGACAGGCCGTGTCCGACTTAGAAGTGCACGTTAAACTTTGGCATCTAAATTATTCCGTTACCCAGCATTGCGCGATCGGATGGTAGGGGTCGGGGTATACGCAGCAAGATCTGCTTAGCGTATAGGCTCCTGCTCCGTCAATCCGTTCATTCAAACATTGGAGCTAAATTTATATATGCTACATATGTATATCCAAAAATATTGACGTGTTCCTTTGTGTTTTCTGTTATATGTTTTCGATTTTGCGTTCTGCGTCTTTTTAGGTTCCTCGTTTGAGCTTATAGCAATTGTACAAAATACCTGCATACCGGCAGTGAGCCCGTTGCAGCCCCTGACGCAGACCTCCGTTGCAGTGAAGTGCGGGCCGATCACTCACGGTCATCGGAATGGTGTTGCGCGTGTTCCCAGGTCAATGTGGTGCCCTACACACTGGTGACACTGGTGCAGACGGACAAGTCCAAGTACAAGGCCGGCCAGGAGGTGCTGTTCCGCGTGGTGACGCTGAAGAGCGATCTTACCGCCCAGGAGGAGACGGTGAGACAGCAGCGCACATCACGAGCTGTTTGTGTCCAAACTGACCAAAGGAATGACCGGCGCATGCGGTCTCATTCAAAAGTGACCGCACGCGAATCACTCAGAGATGAATTGCTTATAATTAGTGAAGTTAAGGTTTGAGTCTGTTGAATAATGACTCATTCACAGTTCACTGTCGATTATTGCAAACAAAGAAGCTGCAAAGCAGCATGATAAACAAATAAGATACTCATAATGATGAATGAAAGCGAGACTTCTCCGGAAAGACGCAAACGTGGTAGAAATGTGCTAAGCATCTGTGCTGTGGCCTGCCGAGCTCGCCAGGTCACCTGTTCACTACCATTTGGTATTATTTCTCGTCTCATTGGTTCTACAGGTCGATCAGATCTACATCACAACTCCCGCCGGCACCCGGCTGGCGCAATGGAACCAGAAAACCACCAGCTCGGGCATCATAGCCCTGTCATTTAAACTGACACAGGAGCCACCTCTGGTGAGTCACACCGACACGGGAGCCACCTCTGGTGAGTCACACCGACACGGGAGTCACCTCTATTGAGTCAAACTGGCACAGGAGCTACCTTTATTGAGTCAAAACAGCTTGGAAACCACCTTTATTGAGTCAATCTGACACGAGAGCCACCTTTATTGAGTCAAACTGACACGGGAGCCACATTCATGGAGTAAGCTGACATGGGAGCAGCCAGAACGACCTATATGACCGTGACCTCACGCTGATCTCTGGGCTGACCTCTGCCGCAGGGCATGTGGACGATACACGTGAAGCGTGGAGATCGTATCACAAAGCAGACATTTGAAGTGGACGAGTTTGTCCTGCCCCGGTTCGAAGTCACCGTCACTGGACCCAAGTTTATTGTCCGAGGTGCCAACACTGTTACTCTCAAAGTTTGTGCCAAGTAAGTTGAGTGTTGTGTTGGAGATATGAATGTATAGCCCTCTGCACACTGCGTGATAGGTATTCTTTTTTTTCGACAAATTCGATAATAATTCGAATAATGTGCTATCGGTCACTCTGAAATCGTAACAGCAAGACGCGCGAGACTCATCACCTTAGATTGGGATTACCATGGTATAGGTACATTTTACTTCCAGTTTGGCAACAATACACAAAAGTATAGTGTATACTGTATATACTTGTCCCCAAAACAAACTTTTGCTTTTTGCTGCCATACTAGGCGCATACTTGATAGACCCAATCGAAGGAGTGGGACATTGCGGCTGCGCATCTATGCAAGGCCATATACCGGGTGGCCCAGAAAAAACGTTCCCAACTTCAAATCAATATTTCTCAGAAAGTGATAAAGATACAACATTGAAACTTCGAATAGTCAATGCGGCACACATTTTCAGTAAATGGTGTGATTTTTATGTTATTCGGTCAATTACTTTTTAAACGGTTCGTGTTTCTAGCATGCCATGTAAAAATCACTTTTTTGCTCTGATGTTTACCAAAAATGTGAGTGAACGGGCCACTTCCATCTCGGCACCACGGCCTACAGCCATGACTGCTACTGGCAACTAGTCTCATTGGTGGTTCAGGCCTCAGGGTGACACATTCCCTCTAGCTTTTTTCCTTATTCGGTCGATTTACTATTTGATCTTCTTGAGGGGAGGGCGATCAGCAGTAACCCATGCACCGTGCCACTCCTTCGCCTTGAAACAGATCTTGTGTTGAAACGAATGGCATCCATTAACACAACTTTGGCTTAGTATTGTAATATTTAGCACATAAGTGTGACAAAAAAAATATAAAATAGCAACACACATGCTGGTATCATTCAAGCCGTTATATTTTTTGTATTTTTTCTAACATTGTACGTCTAAGCCAATCATTACTTCCGTTCAACAACGGCAAAAAAAGCAAAAACGTCTTACTTCATTCAACATAAGATTGCTGGCTTGAAAATGATGATACAGGGTTATTATTTGGCATACCAATGCGCAAAGAAGTGACAGAAACTCGATGAAAATTTTGGCTCGTTATTTGCACTCGAATTTGAGATATAGGCCTCCAAAGTTCGGAACGTTTTTTTTGGGCCACCCGGTATAGGCATCTATGTGCAATCAGATTTCTGACTGACTGATAATATAGCCTTTGAGGGGTAACTATTTACGGTTTTGTCGAAAAACGAATACCTACCACGCAGTGTGCTGAGGGCTGTACGTACTTTGTTACGGAGCGAGCGAAGCGAGCGTAGTCTTTTCCATAACGGGAAAATCTCAGTATGAGCGGCCCGGCCCAGCCGGCGGCCTGTAACGCTTTTGCGAGGCTTATATCTTAGCAACCACTTGACCGATTAACATGCGGTAATTTTTGTAGGGTAGCTTCATTTCTTCTATCAAGTATTGGACTGCTCCCGATACATGTGGGTGACGCCTTATGCACGTGCCACGTGCAAAACGAAGAGGTGTCAGTTTTGTAACAATTGCAGTATCTCGGTAACTACTTGGCCGATTGCGCTGAAAGTTAGCATGTAGGTAGGCACCCACTAGGCAGTGCATATCCATATGCCACAGTTGGGGTGTTGCTGCACTTGCGCACGTGCAGGGGTCGATTCCAGAACTCGAGAACGGCTGAACCGATTGCGCTGAAATTTGGTGCATAGTTAGGGACCGGTTAGTAGTGTGCCGTGCAAAAGTCAGTTAGGACCCATTTTGCACGTGCGCGCGCACGTGCAGGGTGCCGCTTCCAGATCTCGAGAACGGCTAGGCCGATTGCGCTCAAATTTGGCACATTGCTAGAGACCGGTTAGAAGGGTGCCGCGGTGCACAAGTCAGTTGGAGGTACCCCTCACGATTTCGCACGTGCAAGGCTCACCCTCTCGCTCGCTCCGTTTGTCGCCCTCAGGCGTTTTACTGGTACTTACGAATGTCCAATGAGCTAATAGATGAGGTAGCTAGAGCTGAGAGAGCCAAGCTTGTACTTTTTATGTGTCAGGTCTAGGCTAGGTCAGGCTACGTAGTTCTCGGAAATTGTGAATTATGAATGGGCCATGTGGCACATGTTTTATGGTTCATTTTGGCCACATATATCTTAATTAGGGTCGTCTGTGCCTTCCGAAGCCACGTTCAGCTGAATATAGCAAAAGGTTAGGTTGCCATTAAGAGTTAATACAGAAAAGGCCAAACTTTGAAGTTGAAGTTTTTGAACAAAAAAAGTTCTCTATCAGATAGGTACAGTTTGAGCACAGGAACACGAAGGTGCTATTTTTGGGTGTGCGATGTCTAAACCGTACTGGAAATTGAATTAATGTGAATGTTTGATAATGATGAAAAATTAAGGTACAATGTAAAAATTGATGGCTTGGCTATTTTTGAAGATATCGGGCTTAAGCTTTCTTGGGTAGATCATCGGCATTTGTTATATCACATATGCTCCGATTGTTTTCCCCGGTTGGATGTAGAAATAACGAAATAGGCTGCGACTCGCAAGTTGCTTCCATTTTTGTATGTGACTCGCAGCATGCGAACATGAAAAAGAACATGACACGTATATCTGTTCGAAATCGAAAAGGTGCCCAGTGCAGTAGCGGCGGAACACCTTCAATTAAGGGGGGGGGGGCACTGACGACTTTTGGTCCCATTCTTTCCATGCAACGCCCATAGGGCTAATGTTAAAATGCCAAAATCAAAGGGGGGCACGGTTCCCCGGTGCCCTCCCCGTTCCGCCGCCTATGGCTGCCAGAGCTGTCTGTATGATGCGTCGAACTGTTGTCAGGTACACCTTTGGAGAGCCAGTTTCGTCGGCCGACGTTGTGCTGTTTGCCAAACGCACGGTTCCTTCCTACTTCTACTCACGAAACAGATACGGAGAGCTGGACCGACGAGGAGAGACGCCATCTAACATAACGCTAGAGGACACGGTAAGCTAGCTCAGCAACTCTGTGAGTGCTCACTGGAACCCGCGCCCAGCACTCAGAGGTTCATTGCAGCACCTGTTCTGTTCTCCTTTCTTAAATTCACCTGCAGATGATCGCTCTTATTTATTCTATTATACTAGGTAGTCTTTTGTTACTGACGTTAGGAGTGAATAACTTGGGATCAACTACCAAAATAGTTAAGCACTCGAAATTTCCCAATAGAACTTAGTGTAAATAATACAGACTAACGCATTTGGTACGGTGGCATTATGCTTGACAACACTGCAATTGAGCCTCTCTTTTCTAGCAGCGGGCTCTAGGGATTGACCTTGTTGCCTGGAGGATCCCGGCTTTGAACATTTTATACGGCTCAATAGGTATACCCTATCATGGACTGCTTACTGTGTTACTACTGTGTCTACTGATATAGAGTAGTCTATGACCTACCTATAGTTAAAGGGACTATCCCACCTTTAACCCTATTAGTGGCAGGCTCCTGGTATACCCCTATTAGTGGCAGGGGGGGGGGGGGGCTGTTTACGACCCCCCCTTGATATCTCGAGATCTAACGGGCCGATTTTCAAAATTCAAACGGCATTCAATTTCGCTCAACGTGATCTACATTTCTAAAAAATAAAAATTAAAAAATGTCAACAGGGGGGTAGAGGGGGGTAAAAACGGGCAAATTGCAGATACATTTTAGACTGTTTATCGCGGCCAGGTTTCTGAACCAATCCTAACGCAACTTTTGCCGATCGATAGAGAATGAACCAGGAATTCACATGGATCCTAAAAATATGCATTTTCAAAAATCATAGGCGGATACAGATCATTGAGATTGGGGGTACACAAAAAGTATAGTAAATAAGGTTTTTGTTGGTACTGTTTCTAAAAAGGGTGGTAATGGTCTTGTTATGTTACAATTTTCTTATGATAGAACGACTACAATTGTATTGGTCATGCATAGGCGGTGTCAGGGCACCTATGTTGGGAGGTAAAACATAACCCCCCTTTTTGGACGCCTGGATCCGCCTATTATAGCAAAAACGTGTCAAAAGAGGATGCACAATAACTGTATATGTTATCACATGATACCTTTCATTCACTGTTCGTAAAACTGGTGCAGCATCGTGATCTTCGCCCAAATGACTCGCTTCACGAATAGGACCCCCAATTCCCAGTGCTCTGGAGCCGCCCCTGGTAAAGTTATGAACTTGAAATTTTCAGGGAATTAGCCCAATTTAGTTTTAGGAAAAGTCAGAAAATTTCAGCATCGTAGCTTCAGCGGTTTCGGAGATATTCCCGAAAAACCTGAGGGGTGGATAAAAACAACCCCCCCTGCCACTAATAGGGTTAACATGGGGTTTGAGTTGAGATAGCCAAGTTTGCGGCGAGGTTCAGAAACCACTATCTATCTAGGTTGCAACCCCCGCGGCCTCTTGGTGTTGAAGAAATTCGTTCCCTTCATTTGAAAATGGGCCTTGTACAAGGCCCTATCTTCAACATGGAGCGACCGTTAGTGTGACGTCACCTCGCTTAGTCATTCTGATTTAAATGGGTTTGTTCGTTGAAAAATCGCTTAAAACTTGGTCTGAACTTTGTTGTGGTGCCTACAGAGTAAAAAGAATCAGCTTTGTGACAGTAATGTGGCCTGGGGAAGGAGGTAATTTTGGGCTGTGACGTCACATATTTGAAAGTTTGTGTTTGGAATATGGGAAGCCTAAGATGTTTAATGAAAAATAAATGCCAGAACCGTGTTCCTGGTCATCCAATCTATAAAGTCGGGCACAATTTAACTGGTTTTAACAACATTTTAGAAGGTGGGATAGTCCCCTAGGGCTATCGGGCGAATGCACCTAATTTGACCAAATCTGCACCTAATATTGCCGGTCCCGTAGCTCAGTTGGTAGAGCGTTGGACTCCGCGTGGTGAGAGCACGCGTTCCCGGCAGGCGCGGATACAAGGGGGGGGGGCCATGGGGGCCATGGCCCCCCCCCCTTGGCCGATTTTTTTCAAAAATAAAATAAAAAGTTAAAAAGTTAAAAAGCTGAAAAGGGGGCCTCCTGAAAATAAAGTGGCCGAAATCCGATGAGTTTTTTTTAACCTACCCACTTAGTTATTTCTTAGAAGACTAGCTGAGAAGACTTCTTTGTTAGAAGATTGGTAAAGCTTTTCATAACTTGGAGGTCTCTTATACTCACAGAGATGACCACTTTTACAGGGCCTCCTAACCTGCACAGAGGGCCTCCAAGCCTGCACAGATGTTGAGATGTTGCCTGAACAGCTAGATAAGCTCAATAGACGCAGTTTTTTTTTTGGGGGGGGGGCAACAAGTGGGAAGATGGGGCCTCCAACAGGTGGGATTATGGGGGGCCTCCTGGTTTCTAATGGCCCCTCCCTTGGAGATTTTCTGGATCCGCCCCTGGTTCCCGGTTACAACAGTCCGGGTTCGAAGCGCGACGGGCGCTTGACATTTATGGGCCTACTGACAGGTGGGGCATTCCACGATAGATCGTACCACTTTTTTCCAATTTGACACCCTCATCTCTCGGATTTTAACGATAATTGGTCTAAGGGGTAATCAGGGGCTCTGAATCCTCCTATAACAATTTCAGGCTTATCAGACGAGTGGTTTTTGAGTTTATAGTGTATAACATGTTTTGGATCTTGCGTTGCAGCCCCAAGTTTGGTGGGCTGTAACTCTAAGACGGATAATCCAAATGCCAAATGCTATACGGCATTGAACTTGCATTGAAACAAAGAATAATATGCATTTTTAAAATTTTGAAATATATACTATTTTTATATATAACACCTCGAGTTTCCTTTCATTTGCATTTTTATGCCTTTGGGACCATTTTTTTGAATTTTTATTTGCTTAAAAACATTTTTGGATCATTTTTAAGCAGCATGCAAAAAATTAGGAAGGTGTTCTTTCTATAAATGCACTTATTTTGCGTCACCGTAATGGTCTCGAATTGTGATTTTGGAAGAGAGCCTACAAATGGTGTGGTAAAGCTGCGTAGTGACATCACTGGTTACTGAAAGTTCAATTGAAGTCATTTTTGCCTCACTTTTGCGTTGTTGACCTTGCGTGACGTCATTCGTACGTCACTAGGGTCATAAGAGTTTTTCGTCAATAACTCTCGATCAAATTGAGCTAGAGAGACGGGAAGGCTACCAATGGACTCGGGAAGACCTTGCGAATCGAATGATGTGCAAAATGATCTCATTCACCCAGCTTCGTGGCCTGACCCGACTGTAAACCATCTCTGTAGCGGCGCTGTTTGTCCAGCGCCGCGCTGGTTGGCTTTGCCGCGGACTCGGGGCGGTCACGTGATGCCCGGGGGCTGGCTGCCGGCTGGGCCGCCCGGTCGGGGCGCGGAGCCAAATACACGGCAGTGTACTTACCCGAGGTCAGCGACTTAAGCTGACTTCACCAGAACAAACAGTATACCATTCGACGCGCCGGAGCTAGGCAAACACAAAGATGCTAAAATCGCGGCTCTGCGACCATTTGTTGCGAAGTTATCTATCAAAAACCGGACCCGTAATTTTGGGTCACTTGAAATGACCTCAGGGGTCACCAATGAACCCGAGACCTTAAAATTTGGTATCATTCGATGCATCTTGTAACGGCGCACATGCTCGTTTTTCCGCAAGGTTCTAGCTCCATTAGAGGCGAAACGGCGAGCTGGGGTCGTACCGACCCCCCGGAAACCCATTTTGTACCTACATGTAAATGAGGAACATATATGTAGAAAGAACACCTTTCTAATTTTTTGCATGTCGATTTTAAAGGACCTGAGGTTTATTTTGAAGAAATAAAAATGGCAAAAATTTTGGTCCCAAGGGCCATTATAGACAATTTAAAAAAAATACTACGACTTTTTTCAATATGTAAAGCTTTTCTTTCCAATTTTAAAAATACTGTATTTATCTTTGATTCATCGTTAATTCAAAGCTGTTTACCGTTTGTTGCTTGCTTAGCTCGTTTTTGAGTTATAGCTCATCAAACTCACCCTTACAATCTGAAGTTAAGAAAATATTATGCAATGTAACTCAAAAAGTTTTCATCTGAGAAGTCTGATATTTTGGCAGGTGTTTTTGGAGCCTATGATTACCCTTTGTACCAATTTTCATTCAAATCTGAGAGATGAGGGTGACGGGCCTGGTACGATCTATCGTGGAATGCCCCAGGTATGGTTGCGGTTGGTGGCAGGCCGTAGCCAGGCGAAGTCAGTGAGGGGACCGGCCGTGCGTGGCTATGTGCGCACGTTAAACTTTGGACTCTAAATTTGCCATAGAACTGGAATTGGCGATCGGAGGGTAGAGGGCAGGGTCACCGCAACAAGCTTCGCTTAGCGGTGGCTTTGTCCTTGTGAATCCTTCTCATGAAAAGGTTCGGCCTAAATTTATTTTAAAAAATGTGCAACAAATGTGCACTAGATGTGTACCAGATGGCCGTCGTGAAAACGGCTACTGAATACTCCGATAAAAAGCTATTGGTTATTTCTGTTTAATAAATGTCGACAATAAAAAGATCCAAATAACGCTGACAAGTAGGAAGAATCAAGAAATAGCGTTTTGCTCAGAATTAAAGTTAACCCGCGCCCCGTTTGGGGTCTGCCGAGCAGCGCGCCCGTTGGGGGGGGGGGGGGTATTTTGGCCCCAACCTAAGATATCGAGAACCACGCAACATAGCGACAAACAGCAAAGGGTGTTAGATAGTCCCAACAGGGACCTACCTTTTGATCCAATATCATTGACCTCGGTCAAACCAATGACGTCACAGGTCAGGTCAAAGGCCGAATTTTCACCGTTCACAGTCATTTCAAGAAATGTGTTGTAAAATCAAGTAAAATGCATGTCATTGAAAATCATCGATGGCTAATTGTTCCTCAAACACATATTTTGCTATTTGAGGTCACTGATACCAGGTCAGGTCACAGAGGTCAAGTCACTGAGGGTCACACTATGAAAATATCATGTGATGTATGTTTCATGGTCCATTTTACATGACAAATGTGATTATGTGGGTCAGGCAGCCTTTGGGGCCAGTGTATGTTATGCTCTGCTCTGGTGAAGGTCAGGTCAAACTAGGTCAAATTTTAAACTTAACCCGCGCCCCGTTGGGCTCTGCCGAGCAACGCGCCCCGTTGGGGGGGGGGGGCCATTTTGGCCCCCCCTAAGATCTCGAGAACCACGCAACGTAGCGACAAGCGGCAAACGGTGTTGGATAGCCCTATCAGGGAACTACCTTGTGACCCAATTTTATTGACCTAGGTCAAACCGATGACGTCACAGGTCAGGTCAAAGGTCCAATTTTCACCGTTTACAGGCATTTCAAGAAATGCGTTGTAAAATCGAGTAAAATGCATTTCATTGAAAATCATCGATGGGGAAATGTTCTTCAAACACATATTTTGCTAGTTGAGGTCACTGATACCAGGTCAGGTCACTGAGGTCAGGTCACTGGGGGGTCACAATATGAAAGTGTCGTGTGATACATGTTTTATGGTCCATTTTACATGACAAATGCGATTATGTGGGTCAGGCAGCCTTTGGGGCCAGCTTAGGTCACGTTTTGGTGAAGGTCAGGTCAAGGTCAGGTCAAGGTCAGGTCAAAAAAGGTCAAATTTCAAAGTTGATATTTTTGCATAAAATGGGTATCGAATCGGTGCAGCTTGTCACGGGGAGTTCAATGGTGGTCTTTGTTTTGCCGTACGAGGTCTAGAATCGCTAAAAATTGAGTTCAAAAATTTGACGTCATCATTTTTGAACAGTTTTTTCGCTATAACTTGGCCAAAAAACGAGATATCGATCTGAAATTTGGTATGTATATAGAAGAGCGCAGGGACTATCACATATATTCCGGTTTTTTCAAAATTCGGAAAAATTTTGGATTTTTTTTTAGTTTAAAAAAAAACAATTTTTTGAAATTTTTTTGGTCAAAAACCCAAAATTTTGAAAATCCGAGATAGCAGTTTTGTAGCGCCGCTTTTTGTCTATTAGACCATATAAAGAACTTTGAAATTGCTTGATAACTGTAGATTTGGTGAGCGTTTCAAGATTGCATGTTTTTTGCTCATTTTTGCTCGAACATGACCTCAGTTTGACCTCAATAACTCCTGACCTAAGGTGACCTAAGACTTGAAATTTGGTGTGAAGGTGTCAAATTGATGCCCGGAAAGGTACTGAAAATTTGGCGGCGCTGCGCGCCGCCGTTTTCTTGCTATTCAGGAAAAACCACAGGGGGGGCCAAAATGGCCCCCCCCCAACGGGGCGAGGGTTAATAATTTTTGCATAAAATGGGCATCAATTCGATGCAGCTTGTTACACGCGGTGTCTAATGGTGGTCTTTGTTTTGCGCTATGTGGTCTAGATGGCCAAAAATTTAGTTCAAAAATTTGACGTATTGAATTTTGAACAGTTTTTCCCTATAACATGGTCAAAAAATCGCATATCGATCTAAAATTCGGTATGCAGATAGACAGTGGCGGATCCAGGGGGAGGGGGCAAAATGGGCATTTGCCCCCCACCCCAAACGGCATAATTTTAACATTACGCCTATGGACGATGCATGGAAAGAATCGATAAATTGTTATGGTTTGCCCCCCCAAAAAACTCTGAGCTGGATCCGCCTCTGCAGATAGATGAGTGCAGGGACTATCATCTATAATTCTATATTCTGTTTTTCGAAATTCGAAAAACTTTCGGGATTTGTTTTGCTTTTTTATATTTGTTTTTTATTTTTTTTTTGTGGTAAAATCACAGAATTTTGAAAATCAGCGATAGCAGATTTGTAGCGCCGTCTTTTTTTTTCTACACGACCACATAAAGGACTTTGAAATTTATTGATAACTGTAGCTTTTGTCAGCGTTTCAAAAATTGTTTTTTGCTCAATTTTTGCTCGAACATGACCTCAGTTTGACCTCAATAACTCCTGACTTAAAGTGACCTAAGACTTGAAAATTTGTGTGAAGGTGTCAAATTGATGCCCGGTAAGGTACCGAAAATTTGGTGGCGCTGCGCGCAGTGGTTTTCTTGATGTTAAGGGAGAACCACAGGGGGCATGTTGTCCCCCCCCCCCGGCGGGGCGAGAGTTAACCGAATTACATGAGCAAAAGGGTATCATTTCTTCTCGTGACACTCATATTCATAGCAACGCCCAAAATAACGTTTCAAGCCATCAAGTTAAAAATGGTTTATATTTTGCACGTTTTCAGTTGTTTTACCTAAAAAAGTAATACTTTTTTTGGCAGAGTGACTCGAAGGGCTGCGCAGAATTTGACGTTCTTTTGTCGAAAATCGGAGTCGGCAAAACGTTCAGAAACCGCGGAATCTACGTAAACCAGGCAAGTGTTCTTCGTCACTACCCATTCAACTCTGAAGGCTGCTTCCCATGAAACAATAACTTCATGCCTCTTTATGTAGTGCCCGCATCTCTATAGTGGCTGGTGCTGTATTCCCACCCAATTTGTTCAGTATTGGTACGATTGAGCACCTCCGCCAGGCGGTGCGGCGGCCGGTGGTGACGTGCTTCTCTGTGTGCCTCCCACTGTCAGGTGATTATCCAGGCCAACGTGACGGAGGCGGGCACGGGCCTGGTGCTGGGCTCCGACCTCGTCATACCCATCCAGACGCCGCGCATCAGCGTCGAAATCGACGAACGGCCCGGCACCAAGTTCATCAAGCCCGGTCTGGAATACATTGGATTTGTAAGTGTACATGATAACTTATTCATCACTCACATTGTGATGAATGTGCCTAAGGGGTGAAACAGACTCGTTCCGCATTCAGGAAATCGCATGCAAGAACCTATTCAAATACGTTATAATTCTTCCCGCATCAATCGCATGCGGGAGTTGCGTGCGATTGATGGGAGCGTGCTTCCATGTACTTGAATAGGCTCTCGCATGCGATTCCCTGACTGCGGAAAGAGTCTGTTTCAGGCTTAAGAAGGGCTAAATGAACATGATCAGCGGGTGCGACAGTCTGTGGTGCGATTGTGGTATAGGTATTGCGTAGTTAAGTGAAGCAGAGTGTGGAGTATTTTGAAGTCCTGTTTGCAGGTATTGTCTTTCCTTGTTGCCTTTGTCGTGTGCTGCACAACAAGCAACATATAGCTTCTGACACCATTCATTGCAGGTCACAGTGAAGGGAGCGGATGGCGACCCGCTCTCCGATGAGACCCTGCAAGTTTGTCACACAGAGTCCTTCATTGACCAAGGAGCGATCAAGCCGATCAAAAAGTCGGAAAATCCGTTTATAGCATACCCGTCGTAAGTAGCATTGAAAGTGTTGATTTCCGTTCCCATTTAACCGATCTACAGAAAGTGATGAAGTTATCCATGATCGTAAAATGGGCTCATATCTTTTTCGTTGCTGTAATCCAGCTTTTGTGTGTGGAATTTATTGCGACGGGTTCCGAACGAAATATCAAATATCGAAATAGTAAATCACGAATCGCAGCATATATTACTATATGGCCTGGTTTGGCAATGGAGCTGTCATTAAAATTTTGCAGCAGCATGCCATTTGGTTTCCGGTTTGGTCAATATTACTTGGACAGTAAACACATGACCTGTTCTGAAACTTTTCATGTGTTCAGTAAGTATAGAATTAGATGCCAGCGTCGAAGATTTTGGCTTTGAGGATATAATTCATGCCGTATAATGGTTTTTGTCGTATTTGGTACAACATTTTTTCATCATAATATTTGTATGTCTTGCTAAATCCAGTGCAAACACATTAACAAAAATGAATATTTGTGAAAAACAGTTACCAGACAGCCAGCAGAGGAGTCAAGCTGGTGAGCAAGGACTTCAACAAGCTGCCAATCATTTATCCTGCAATACCATCCAAGACAGACCAAGAATCATGCAATGAGTACAAGAGCAACAAGGACGGTCGCATTCGGTTCCGCATTGCGCCCCAGTCTGCCGGTATCATCTCCAGCAACGTCAATGTGAGTAGACCGGCTGTGGGACCCCGCTCATACCGGCTGTGGGACCCCGCTCAGACCGGCTGTGGGTCCGCTCAGACCGGCTGTGGGACCCCGCTCAGACCGGCTGTGGGCCCGAGTAGACCCGTTGTGGGACCCCGCTCAGACCGGATGGGGCCCCGCTCAGACCGGCTGTGGGTCCGCTCAGACCGGATGGGGCCCCGCTCAAACCGGCTGTGGGTCCGCTCAGACCGGCTGTGGTACCCGCTCAGACCGGCTGTGGGTCCGCTCAGACCGGCTGTGGTACCCGCTCAGACCGGCTGTGGGTCCGCTCAGACCGGCTGTGGGACCCCGCTCAGACCGGCTGTGGGACCCGCTCAGACCGGCTGTGGGACCCCACTCAGACCGGCTGTGGGCCCGAATAGACCGGCTGTGGGACCCCGCTCAGACCGGCTGTGGGACCCCGCTCAGACCGGATGGGGCCCGCACCGGCTGTGGGCCCGAGTAGACCGGCTGTGGGACCCCGCTGGGACCCCGCTCAGACCGGCTGTGGGACCCCGCTGGGACCCCGCTCAGACCGGCTGTGGGACCCCACTCAGACCGGCTGTGGGACCCCGCTGGGACCCCGCTCAGACCGGCTGTGGGACCCCGCTGGGACCCCGCTCAGACCGGCTGTGGGTCCGCTCAGACCGGCTGTGGGACCCCGCTCAGACCGGCTGTGGGACCCCGCTGGGACCCCGCTCAGACCGGCTGTGGGTCCGCTCAGACCGGCTGTGGGACCCCGCTCAGACCGGCTGTGGGACCCCGCGGGGACCCCGCTCAGACCGGCTGTGGGTCCGCTCAGACCGGCTGTGGGACCCCGCTCAGACCGGCTGTGGGACCCCGCTCAGACCGGCTGTGATGGCCCGCTTCCAGTCACAGCGGGCCACTATTTCACATCGGATGAACCGTGCGCTCAAACAATGAGCGCCCGGGCAAACATGCGCACGGAATCTCGAGTCCAAAAGCATGTCTTCAGTAATTAAAGACATGATTTTGACAATGAGCCGTCCGAATGTATGCAGCCTCGGATGAGACATTAACGACTGTTCCATTCTGCAGGTGCGGACTCGTCGGTCCGGCCTGTCCGGGAGCGACTACGTGTCGCTCAAGGGATGGTTCTCTCTGACCGACTCGTACATTTCGATCGTGCCCGTGAGGGACCCATACGGTCTGAAGTGCGAGGGTAGCCTCCGACTCACCGTTAAGTCGAACATCAAAGTGCCGCAAATGACGTATTTGGTAAGTGACTCCAAGTGCCCTTAGCTCCTTGCGTTTTGTCTTTTTGTGTCTTCAAGCTTACTCTGTTTCTGTGATTGAATTGACGAAACCTATAGGCTGCACGCCTTGCATAAAACCGTACCTACTGGTGTTTGGACTTTGGTTACCTGTTTGGGTACCGCATTAAGTGTAAGTAACCACGGATTAACCAGGATATGTACGTACCTGCTACGCGCTGATAGTGCAATCTGTTTACATGATCAGCAATCGTACGCTAACCATCCTAGACCGTCATCGGGTACGTTAAGTCACTCTCGTCGTGTTTTGTGTAGCATGTTCATTTTCAGTTAGGTCATCCCATATTCCAATAAATATCTGCTGATGCCGCCTAGCTGACCAGCTCCTCCGCCGCGCAGGTCATGACCCGAGGTCAGATTCATACCTCTGGTAAGGTGGCACGCGACGGATCCATCGAAATCAAGCTGAATTTCAAAGTGTCGCCTTCTTTCAAAGTGCTCGTCTACTACGTCAACGGCCTGGGTGAAACAATCGCCGATTCAAAGACGTACAGCGTCGCTAACTGCTTCCAAAACCGAGTACGGGAGCATAGAGCTAACTCACTTATTAGATCTCGTTGAAAATGGACGCGTGCATAGTATGTAGACATATTTTGATATAGACGTTCAAGTCATCCAAATATATACCTTACTATTGTTCTTTTCACCATTTATTGTCCTATTTTTGTCACAATCATGATATTCAACCACTCTATGTCTATGCTGTCCAAATACTATATTTGCATTGCTCCTATGCCGCGTCACTTGAGTGCTGTCGTGCCTATATTCTGTTGCGCTACTCGACCGCTGTCCTATGCATGACCCAGCTGATGGTGTGCTCAGGTGAAGGTATCCTGGGACCAGGAGAAGGTCGAGCCGGGCGATCCGGCAGTGCTCACCATTCGGGGAGCGCGCAACTCGCTCTGCGGCATCTGTGAGTACTGAACAGCGAGGAGGTCAGTACAGCCATTGAGTACCACCAAACGCCACTGGGGAATTCATTACAGCCACTGAGTAATATTCCGTTGCTGCAGCTGCCGCGGTCGACTATATAGCCCAGCCCGCCGGGCCCCTGGCTAAGCTAAAAGAAATTGTATGCTAAGTGGAAAATTTTAGCATGGCTGTCGCTTATAATTACTAGCATCATGAGACCATATCACGCGCACTGCAGGGGGGGGTTGTTTTCAACCCCCCCCCCCTGTGGTTTTTCGCAAATCGCGAGAAAACGGCGGCGCTACGCGCCGCCAAATTTTGCATACCTGTTCTCCTAACTTTTGCACACCTTGAGTAAAAATTTTGACCCCAGGTGACCTATGGTCAGGTCACCAGGTCAGGTCAAGTGACCCTACCTCGAAACGTAAATTTCGAAGTTTGCAATCCCACCAAGCCCACAGTTGTTGAGATATGATTTTGAAACCCACAGGAAATGGTAAAGTCATCACGAGCTACAACTTGTATATCTCGGAATTCTTATATCGATGACCTAAGGTCAGGTCATTTTTGCGACCGGCCCATTATAAGTCAACGGGAGAAATTTCAACTTACTCTGAATGCCATCCTATGACTTCAATACGCTCAGGATCATAGTATTAGAGGTCCCTGTTGGTGATTTCACCGAAACATATCACTTATGACCTTTGGAAGGTGATCTCCAGGTCATCTTAGGTCACCTGAGGTCACCAGCGGTTTTTCTTCAATAACTTGAGATTGAATAGAGATAGAGACTCCGTTCGACGTTTATCGTGTTTTCTCGTCAATGCGGATCGAATGATATGCAACATGACCTATTTCGGTCAGGTCATGACCTTGACCTGAGGTCAAATTTTCAACTTGACCGTTCGAGGTCATATTATATATCATTCGATGCGCCTTGACGAGCTAAGAACGATGGCGTTCGAATCGATCCTCTGTCTTGTGTGCAAGACAAGTTATTCAAGAAAAACTACCGCGAAATTCCTGTTGTGAAAATCGTAACATTTTGTCTTCGGTGACCTCTGGTGACCTCGTTTTTGACCTGAGACAAAAATGACCTAGTATTTCCTCTAAATAACATCTCCACCTATCTAACGCCGTTTACCGTTTGTCGCTACGTTGCGCCGTTTTCGAGATCTCAGGGGGTGTTGTTTTCAACCCCCCCCCCCTGCAGTTCATGTTCGGCTCAGACCCGCTGCAGTGCGCGTGATATGCAATGCAGGCACTTTGACTCCGGGGAGGCTCACGTTATTTTCCTTCTGTTGTCAGCCGTTGTCGATCGCAGCGTCGAGCTGCTCAGCGACAAGAACAAACTAACTGCTAAGAAGGTGTTCGAGAAGCTGCAAAAATTCGTCATCGGCGAGTACCAGTATCCTAGGCTTGTAGAATCTGATTCTAGCTATTGTAAGCGGAAACCACGACATGCAAGGCCAGGCCATGGAGATATCTTTGGCTTCCCTAACGAGTTCCAGTTGGAAGACGGAATCGCCGACAGGGAAGAACGGTGAGGATGATCCCTTCGTCTATGTGTCTGTTTCTTTGAAGACTCGTCTGACGAGCCTGTTTCTGCCTGTCTTCCTGTGGGATTTTCCCTTGATATGAATTCACCGGGCTCTTACATCCCAGGTCAGGCCGTTTTCGATGAATGGCGCATATGCAATTATTGGCGCATTAGTGAAGATTAGCATGTACATACCTTGCCCATTTTAAAGTAAGGTTCATTGTGCGATACCCCTCGGCTGCATGAGTCATTTGAGAAGCCATCTAGCGTAGATTTAGTACGCCCATACAATATACACATTACACAATACACATGTATTGTAAGCGGACAACTCGATATGTGCATTGTGCACTGCAGTGACTCAAGTCAAGTCGATCGCCTTTCATAGATTACGGCGATTTGTAGATAGCCATAGATATCAAATGTTCATAGACCACTTCATAGGTTCGTGACGATCTATGCGACGATCTATCTTTCTATCTTCACCTCTGTTGCACGGCTCATGTTATATGTGCGTGATAAACAGTGCAATTCTGATTATGGCACAATGCTCAATTACCTGTTCCAGAGTGCTCCCCTCAAACAGCCGTAATGCTAGACGCATTATACGGCCAATACCACGACCAACCCCCGACGGTTACTGGTACAGAACACGGCAAGATGACTCCATCAAGGCCTTCGAGGTAAGGTCTCTCTCTCTCTCTCTCTCTCTCTCTCTCTCTCTCTCTCTCTCTCTCTCTCTCTCTCTCTCTCTCTCTCTCTCTCTCTCTCTCTCTCTCTCTCTCTCTCTCTCTCTCTCTCTCTCTCTCTTTCCCCCTCTCTATCTTTCTCACTTCTCCCTTGCTGCGTACATAACTCTGTATCTCTCTCGCTTTTGTTCCGTCCTTTTTGTTCATTTTATTACAGTAGCGCATAATTTTAAGGTCCAGGTAAATGTAAGAATTGAGCGTGTTTTTATTTAGAGCAATAGTGAACGAAGAAACTGAAGGCTTTCGAAACTGAAGTAGGTAAATAAGGCTAAAATACGTCGACCAAAGAACAAATGATTTTTTTTTTAGTTAATCTGAGTTTATTGTCACGTAGCTTAGGTCGGTGCAGTCAGAGAAACCTTCCGTCTTTTAAATGTCTACTTAGAAACGGAAATAGTATTCAGAGTTTCCAGACGTCATGGGTGCAACCATATATGCTTAAGTCTTTGAGCTCATTTTTTGTGAGCTTCGAGCAGGAGCTATTGATTCCACTGTCCGTGAGCCTCAGCGTGCAGAAACCCCATAATTTTACATTTGACCTGACCTCGACCCGAAAGTTGACCTCAGTCTTTAAAATCTTAAGAGTACTTTGGGAAGGTCTCGTAAAGGCCTTTCAAACGCCACCTCACGGGGCTCGATACGGCCATTGGTCCTCAGATAACAGGGGGGTCGGATCCGACCCCCTCCCGCTACCCAGGCTGTCGTGCAGGTACGGAAATAGCCCAGCTGCGGTGCCGGGTTTGGTGACGATCGGCGCAGCGGTTCTCGAGATATATCGAAAAAACTAAAGGGGGGCAAAAAAATGCCCCCCACCGCCTGGAAGGTTAACCCTATTAGTGGCAGGCTCCTGGCTACCCCTATTAGTGGCAGGGGTGGGGGCTGTTTACGACCCCGCCCCCCTGATATCTCGAGATCTAACGGGCCGATTTTTAAAATTCAAACGGCATTCGATTTCGCTCAACGTGATCTACATTTCTAAAAAAAAATTAAAAATGTCAATAGGGGGTAGAGGGGGGTAAAAACGGGCAAATTGCAGATACATTTTAGACTGTTTATCACGGCCAGGTTTCTGAACCAATCTTAACGCAACTTTTGCCGATCGATAGAGAATGAACCAGGAATTCACATGGATCCTAAAAATATGCATTTTCAAAAATCATAGGCGGATACAGATCATTGAGATTGGGGGTACACAAAAAGTATGGTAAATAAGGTTTTTGTTGGTACTGTTTCTAAAAAGGGTGGCAATGGTCTTGTTATGTTACAATTTTCTTATGAGAGAACGACTACAATTGTATTGGTCATGCATAGGCGGTGTCAGGGCACCTATGTTGGGAGGTAAGACATAACCCCCCTTTTTGGACGCCTGGATCCGCCTATTATAGCAAAAACGTGTCAAAAGAGGATGCACAATAACTTTGTATATGTTATCACATGATACCTTTCATTCACTGTTCGTAAAACTGGTGCATACAGTTATAATACATCAGCATCGTGATTCTTCGCCCAAATGACTCGTTTCACGAATAGAACCCCCAATTCCCAGTGCGCTGGAGCCGCCCCTGGTAAAGTTATGAACTTGAAATTTTCAGGGAATGTGCCCAATTTAGTTTTAAGAAAAGTAAGAAAATTTCAGCATCGTAGCTTCAGCTGTTTCGGAGATATTCTCGAAAAACCTGAGGGGTGGATGAAAGCAACCCCCCTGCCACTAATAGGGTTAACCAACTTATACGGCCTTGGGTTAACCCTCACCCGTATGGGAGGGTCGAACGGACTCTCGTTTTTTTTTTTCGCGAATGCAAAACTCTAAGGACCCTCGAGATTTTCAATTTTGCATCTTCACTGAAAATTTCATGACCCTGACCCAAATGATCTTTGACCAATCAGTTTCTTGAGACCATGTTTGGCCGGAATCGTGATTCGGCGTATGTCGGCTCGCATTATCCGCGCGTGTGCAGTCGTTTCGTGGTTTTGATGTTGGTCCCATACATTAACCCTCGCCCCGTTGGGGGGGGGGGCATTTTGGCCCGCACCCCTGTGGTTTTTCCTCAATAGCAAGAAAACGGCGGCGCGCAGCGCCGCCAAATGTTCAGTACCTTCCCGGGCATCAATTTGACACCTTCACACCGAATTTCAAGTCTTAGATCACCTTAGGTCAGGAGATATTGAGGTCAAACTGAAGTCATGTTCGAGCAAAAATGAGCAAAAAAACATGCAATCTTGAAACGCTAACCAAATTTACAGTTACCAAGCAATTTCAAAGTTCTTTATATGGTCTAATAGATAAAAAGCGGCGCTACAAAACTGCCATCTCGGATTTTCAAAATTTTGGGTTTTTGACCCCCAAAAATTCAAAAAATGATTTCTTTAGAAAAAAAAACTTAAAAAAATAAAAACTCCGAATTTAAAAAACCCGGAATATATATGACAGTCCCTGTGCTCTTCTATATACATACCAAATTTCAGATCGATATCTCGTTTTTTGGCCAATTTATAGCGAAAAAAACTGTTCAAAAATGATGACGTCAAATTTTTGAACTCAATTTTTAGCAATTCTAGACCACGTAGGGCAAAACAAAGACCACCATTGAACTCCCCGTGACGAGCGGCATCGAATCGATACCCATTTTATGCAAAAATATCAACTTTGAAATTTGACCTAATTTGACCTGACCTTGACCTGACCTTGACCTGACCTTGACCTGACCTTGACCTGACCTTGACCTGACCTTGACCTGACCTTGACCTGACCTTGACCTGACCTTGACCTGACCTTGACCAAAACGTGACCTAAGCTGGCCCAAAAGTCTGCCTGACCCACATAATCGCATTGGTCATGTAAAATGGACCATAAAACATGTATCACACGACACTTTCGTATTGTGACCCCCCCCCCAGTGACCTGACCTCTGTGACCTGACCTGGTATCAGTGACCTCAAATAGCAAAATATGTGTTTGAAGAACATTTCCCCATCGATGATTTTCAATGAAATGCATTTTACTCGATCTTACAACGCATTTCTTGAAATGCCTGTAAACGGTGAAAATTAGACCTTTGACCTGACCTGTGACGTCATCGGTTTGACCTAGGTCAATAAAATTGGGTCACAAGGTAGTTTCCTGATAGGGCTATCCAACACCGTTTGCCGCTTGTCGCTAGGTTGCGTGGTTCTCGAGATCTTAGGGGGGCCAAATTGCCCCCCCCCAACGGGGCGCGTTGCTCGGCAGAGCCCAACGGGGCGCGGGTTAAAGGGACCCTCCCACCTTCAGAAAAGTTAATGAATTGGCATGAAAGTGATGTCGCTCGGTTCAGAAAGAGCAAAAACGAATATCTACCAAATTTCATCGAAAAATATTCACCGGTTTTCAAGATATTAGACTTTTACTTTTGTTTACTTTTTGGGATCTCCGCTGTTCCTAGCGACTTTATTTGAAAGTGCGGCATTTGTTGCGCGCAAAGCAGCATATACCACCGCGTGCTACAAAACGTTTTAGTCAAACATTCAAAATCGTTAGATATCTGCGCTGACGTCACACATTCAGAGGGGTATTCCTATGCATTAGCCCCTCTGAATCAAAATGCTGCAATTTTGAAATTCAATATTTCCGATTTAAGGCATTTCTCGATGTTGTGAGTGCCGAAACCGGTAATTGTAAGCCAGGGACCCCATTTTGGCTATCTCAACTCAAATCTAATGTTAAGGTGGGAGGGTCCCTTTAAGGTGGGTGCCAAGGTCACCTGAAGGTCAGGTAATTGACCTTTGATGAAATCGGCTCACTTTTTTGAGTTTTACATGTTTCAAGGCTAGTTTTTGGAGCTGAATTGGAATTGAGTAGCAATTTGAACATTTACGAAGCAGTTTAGATACCTTCGTAACATGTTACGAAGCTGTCAGAGGCGGTTGACACCTCTACGAATACCCAGGAGGACCCCAACTGGTTGACCTGACATGACCTGACCCGACCTGTCCTAAATGCATGAAGACATCATCTGTGCTCAAAACGAACATGATGTTCGTGATCAGCACCCCGAAAACCCCATATCAGCCACACTTTGCGACGTTCACACTGAAAAACAGTCAAGAATCTTAAACGTTCTTCAAGAACCAATAGGGTTCTTTTTTGCCCTATTCAAATAGACAGCACATTTTAAGCCAACCTGGAGTTCTTCTATAAGAATGGTTAATAAAAGAACGGAAATAATTCTTGGGTTCTTTCAAAACCCTTATGCCGAAAGTCGGCGCGGGTTATCGTAAGATCGTTTTTCTGTCTTCTCAAAGACCGAGAGGGCATTAACGCTTCTCGTGCAAGCTCGCGCGGTGTTCTTAGGCTTGGTTTACGAACTACACAACTATCGCTATTGTGGCTTTAACAAAACCATTCACCAATCGTTTCTTAGAGAAAACCACCCGCTGGCCTAAAAAAAAAGAATCCCATTTCTTGGTATTACCTCGACCTCTTTCACGCCCCGCGATTGCTATACAAACTTGCATAAACATTTGCGAAAATGTATTTGGGCTACAATCACAGCCTCAAAACAAAGTAGGTAATGGTATCCCTTTTTATGCATGAGGCACGAGCATGCAGCCAACGTTGCAAATCTGAGTCAACCGCGTCTGCACCTGTGCGGCGGTGCCCGTCCGACGACCCATCTGCGCGGCCGTCAGCCACGGTGGCACCATGGGGGTGCAGTGAAACGTTGAAATCCGAGCAACTAAGAACACGGCATCACACACAACGCATTTCACAATACAGTATACCGCGTCCGCCTGTGCAGCGGTGTCCATTCGGCCTGCCAGGCCGTCAGTGAGCGCGGCGTCTGCCTAGTGTTCAGGCAAACACGAGCCTCGTACAAACACGAGCCTGCAATGCTGTACAAGACGGTACAAGACGTCTTACCATATATATAGATGAAGTTATAGTCTGTTCCAAC